ATGCAGTCAGTGGTGTCCCCATTAGCATGCACAATGAATGTCGGTAAAGCAAACTGTCTCCTGCCCAGCCCTGCCCTTGGCAAGGGTAGAGAAATGGGTGTGCACTGGTGCCTCGTGCGCTGTGGTGACGCTGTTAGGTGAGAACTTTGCTGCCACAGAAATTCCCAGTCAAAACTCACAGCTCCGAGTCCACAGCAGCGGTGGCTCTGTCAGCTTTGCTCCTTCCACAGTGGTGGTGATTATGGGTCAGGCTTATTGGTGGCAAAGACCAAGCCTGAGTCATTGTGCCCATCAAGTTATAGGCAGTTGTGAGTCTCTAGATGTGCTGGGAACCAAATTGGGGTACTCTGCAAGAGCAGCGAGTACTTTTCACTGAGCTATCTGTCTTGCCAGCCCCAGCAATTACATTTTTAGAAAAGAAGATACTGAGATTCTTGAAATAGCTGTGTTCTTTTTGAAAGTGCAAAAACTTAACCTTTATGTGTAACCAAGATCCCACTGGTTGCCAGCAGTGCCATGCTCCATGCCTCTCACAGATTGTAACAGTGACAGCTGCGAAGAGAGGCTCTGCCCTGTGTTTTGACTGCTCCATGACAATGATAGCTGGTCAGCTTATTTAAAAGCTCTTCTTGGATATTTTTTTTTAAGAATCAAGAAATATTCCTTCAGTAGAACATTTGTAAATTTTATTTTATTTTTTATTTTATGTGTACTGCCTGCATATGTCTGTGTGAGGGTGCTAGGAATTGAACCCAGCTCCTCTGGAAGAGTAGTTAGTGCTCTTAACCACTGAGCTGTTTCTTCAGTCCCTTACTTCTTGGATTTTTTTTTTCTTTTGATATTTTTGAAACAGGGTTTCTTTGTAACAGAGCCCTGGCTGTCTTGGAACTCTCTTTGTAGACCAGGCTGGCCTGGAACTCAAAGAGATCTGCCTGCCTCTGTCTCCTGAATGCTGGGATTAAAGGAGTTTGCCACCATGCCTGGCCACTTCTTGGATTTTATTGTGAAAAGAAAATTCTCAATTAGAGGGAAACATTACATTATAAATATGAATTAATTATTATGATAAGCAGTGAATGAATAGATTGAATTTTCCTCACAGAATAGTTAGCAAGTCATCCTTCAGTATGGCATTTACAGCATCAGCATTAAGTTTTTATCTTTCAAAAATATGTGTAAGGAGTCATATGGGCTGGTTCATGCCTGTAATTCTACTGCTCAGGGAAGAAGCAGAGGAATAAAGACGTTAGGGCCAGCCTGGGCTACAGAGTGAGATCCTGCATAAAAACATCCTAAATATTTATATCTTATATCTTTCTGTCATCTCTGTGTGTATGTGTATATTTGTGTGTGTGTGTGTAGAGGGGTGGTATATATTCCCCCAAGAGTTTCTATTAATCTTTTCATAGTCAAATTACTCTTCAGTCCTTTGTAAAGAATATGGTGTTTGCTGGCTTCTGACCATAAAAGTAGGAGACTCAAAAAGCTCAGTATTTGTAGATAGACCCATGGAGTCAAAATCATCTGTTGGAACCTTCGGCATTTCTTTTGAAGATCTTAGAGACAAAGGAAACCTTGAATCCTGTTGATGTTTATACTGCTTTGCTGTGCTGTGAATGATAGCATATCTTAGGTCCCTTGTCAGCATGCAAAGGGTGACTGGACTAACCTAACTGACAGTGTGCCATATGATGAAGCATACAGAACTTACAGGTGTCTGTAGCCTTACTCTCATACTGCCCAGATGAAGATACAATTTCAGTTTTCACAGAGGGCTTTGGGTGCTCCTCTCAGGATCAGTGGAAGTCACTAAAGCTCGCTGTTAGTTTTGCCTAGTTTTGAATGTCAATATAAATGCAATGATATATGTATTTTCATTTTTCTATTGGAAGTTTAGTTATATTTTGTGTCAGGAGTAATATATCACTTGAAATTTTCATGATTTGGGGCTTTTACATACTGTGGACATATGCTTGTTGCTTTCGTTCACAGCATTCATTATGTTGGACATATACCTGGAAATAGAATTGTTGGACCACAAGGGTCATTGTTTAGCATAATGGATGCTGTCAAACATTTTCCAAAGTGGCTGAGCTGCAATATGCACGAGTTCCATTTGGTCTGTATTATCATAAATGTTTCACTCCTCCCTCCCTCCTCTTTGGAATATTAAGAGTCCTTTGAGCGCAGAGCTTGTAGTGGCGCAGCTGAGTCAAATGGTAGTTTGATGTTTAATTCTTTAGGAGCTTCCATAGTGATTTACAAGTGACTGTGCCAGTTGACAGCCTCATCTGCAGCAAGTAAGGGTTCTCTTTCCCCAGCATTTGTTGATGATGCCATTCTGTCTGAGTAAGGGAATCTCCACGTAGTTTTCATTTGTATTTCCCTGATGGGTAAGGATGTTGAACACATAATCAAACATTTATTGGCCATTTGTATTTCTTCTTTTGAAAACTGTGTATTTTATCAGCCCACCTTTTGATTGGGGAATCTTTTTAGTGTTAGTATTTGTAGTTCTTTATTCTAGGTATCAACCCTTGCCTTCTGTGTGCTTGCTGAAGGGTTGACCTCCTGTCCTGTCGTCAGTTGATTGTTATGTTCCCGTCATCCTATTTGTCAGTTCTTGGGAATGTTTCCTGTGCTGCTGACGTCATTTTAAGAAAGTCTCCGTCTGTGTCTGACGTCTTTAATCTACTGTTTCCTCTAGTAGTCAGAATTTCAGTCTTGCATTGAGATCTTGGACCCATTCTGAATAGATTCTTCTGCATGTTTGTGTGTAAACTTCCATTGCTATTTGATGAAAAACCTTTCTATTTTTGATTATATCATTGGTTGTACCTGTGTAGGTTTATTTATGGGTCCTGTATTCTACTCCATTGACCTACACATCTGTTTCATGCTAGTATCATAGAGATTTAGTTCCTTTACTTCGGGGTTATTTGGAATCTTTGGCACTTCAGTGTGAATTTTAGGATAATTTTTTTTCCTATTTATGTGAAGCTTTTCATTAGATTTTTATGGGGATTGTGTTGTATCTGTAGATCTCTTTGAACAATGGGGCCATTTTTGCAGTATCCTGAGAATATATCCATGTATTCAATTTCTTCAGTGTCTTTAGAGTTGTATTTTTAGAGATGGTTCACCTCCTTAGTAGATGTATTCATCATTTTTTTAAAGCTATTGTGAATGATTTCTTTCTCAGTAAGTTTGCCATTGATACAAAGAATAGCTACTGTTTGCGTGTTGACTTTGGATCCTGCCTCTTTACTGATGGTTTAGAGATACAAGAATTTTTCTGGTAGAACATTTAGAATTTCTTAAGTGTAGGAACTGTTATCTGGAAATTGGGACAATTTGACCTCTTTTTTTTTTCATTTGTATCCTTTTTATTTCTTTCTCTTGTCTTGTTGCTCTATCTAAGACATTGAACATTGAATAGAAATGTAGAAGAGCATATCTTCTTGTCTTACTCTCAGTTTCAGAGGAAATGCTCTCAAAATGTCCACGTTCATAGAGTGTCGGCTGCGGGCCACCAGCTAGTCTTTGTTATGTTGGAGTGTACTCAGGCTTTTACTCTGCAGGGACCTTGTGCATTGCCAGAGGCCTGTTCTTCATCTCTTGAGATGACTGTGATTTTTGTCTTTAAGTCTGTTTGAATGCTGGGTTACAGTTAACACTTAATGATTTGTGTATGTTATTGAATCATGCTTCCTGTAATGATACTACATGAATTCTTAATGTATTTTTGAATTAGGTTTGCAAGAATTTTATTGAGAATTTTTGTGTAATATTTAGGGAATATTGGTCTTATATGATTTTCTTTTTCTTTCTTTTCTCTTCTTTTCTTTTTCTTTCTTTTTTTTTTTTTTTTTTGTTAGACTCTTACCTGGTTTTAGTTTCGGGTAAGGCCTCATATAATGAGTTTATAGTGTTCCTTCCCTTCCTTGGTTAAACAGCACATGAAGAATTATTTTTTTTTTAATTGGTGTTTTTTTTCTAAACATTGTCCTGTTATTTCACAGTGCTACTGTTTGTAGTTGGCACTGTAGTGTTCTACAGGTAATTCTACCCAGTCTTAGCACTAGAGCACTGTAGCATGGTTCATAAAAACCCAGAGACACAAATGGGGCTCAACCTGAAGGTCAGAAAAGCAAAACTGCCAACCACTGGCTCTTACTTCTACCTCAGTACAAATGGCGGTCCTGCCTCCAGGAATCTCAGAATGAGACTGAGATTGAGATCTGTCTCCTCTCATCTTATATTTCTCTCTAGTGCTGGGATTAAAGGCATGCACCACTACCGCCTGGTTTCTATGGCAAACTAGTGTGGCTGCTGGGATTAGAGGTGTGTGTCACCATTGCTGGTCTGTAAGGCTGATCAGTGCCGCTGTTTTACTCTCTGAACTTCAGGCAAGCTTTATTTATTAAAATAAAATGAATGTCACTACAGAGCACCATGGCAAGAACTTCTCTTGCTATTTCCAAGGGCTTCTTGATAAAGCATCTTCCTTAACTAATGTGCTTAAATATAGAAGCCAATAGCCATTATAAAGTACAAACTGACATTTTGAGGAGTTGAATAACATTTATTTTCTAAATCTCTTTAGTGTTCTTCATTCTAAAAATAGATAGTTGACACTTTCCTGGTAGTGGTATGTGTTAGGCTGTGTTTGAAAGTTTGGTGAATCTTACGACTTTTTTTGGGGGGGGGGAGTGGGGGCCCTGGCTGTCCTGAAACTTACCCTACTTTGTAGTTCAGGCTGGCCTCGAATTCAAGAGATGCACCTGCCTCTGCCTGCTGTGGCTTCTTCGACCTTTGCTTTGCAGCTGAACTGCTTGTGTTCTGGAGATGGGAGAGAATGGCTACAGGAGTTTTACAGACATTTTTGTTTTTTGGCTTTGGATGCTTTTCTGTTTTTATTTATGACAGCAAATATACTTTTCAGTTAGGCTGATTAGTGTTCTTAGATTTAATTAGTCTCCGTTCCCCCTCTCTTTCAGGACTTGAAAGAAGCATATGGCACCTATAAAGTTAAATGCCACTCCTTGTTGCCACTTGGACCTTCTGCTTGAGACCTGCATGTGACTTTCCACCTGTGATCTTGGCTTCTCCTATCTACTGACTTTGATTACAGAAAAGTCTCTGAAGATTCGTATCAAATGACGTCAATGGCCAGCTTGTTTTCTTTCACTAGTCCAGCAGTGAAGCGGTTGTTGGGCTGGAAACAAGGTGATGAGGAAGAAAAATGGGCAGAAAAGGCAGTCGATGCTTTAGTGAAAAAGCTGAAGAAGAAGAAGGGCGCCATGGAGGAGTTGGAGAAAGCCTTGAGTAGCCCAGGACAGCCAAGCAAATGTGTCACTATTCCCAGGTCCTTGGACGGACGCCTGCAAGTTTCCCACAGAAAAGGCTTGCCCCATGTTATATATTGCCGTGTTTGGCGCTGGCCAGATTTGCAGAGTCATCATGAGCTAAAGCCATTGGATATTTGTGAGTTTCCTTTTGGATCTAAGCAAAAGGAAGTCTGTATCAATCCATACCACTATAAGAGAGTGGAAAGTCCAGGTAGGTTTCACTTGGCTGAGAAGAATTAAGAGTAAACCAACAAAAAACCAACATGGCTCTTAGCGATATGCACATAACTATGCTTATTATGTTGGCCTTTGTTAAAAATTTCATCTTAGGAGGAATACTAGGTTTAAAATTTAGCTTTTGAACATTAAGCTCTTGATTGGCTGCTAGAACTCACTGTTTCTAATAACACCCACTTCTTTTCTGTGGCTGACATCTCTGAATGCTAAATCCATATCCCGTGTTCACACTAGATCCTGCTCCTTGTTTGTTTGGGAACTGTGCTGTTGCGTTGCAACTATTTTTCTGGCTTTACATCTTAAAAGAGTCTTTATTGTTACATTTACTGTGTGCGTGTGTGTATGTGTGCTCGTGTGCTTGCATATGAGATGACACGTGGAGATCAGCAGACTGTTTTCAGGAGTCAGGAGGTCTTCCTTGATCTTGTTACTCATTTTTCATTGCCTAGAATAGTGCCTTTTACTAGTTAGTAGGTAGTGGCCAGTATTTGTTGGTTTTTTTTGTTTGTTTGTTTGTTTTTGTAATCAGTGAATTATATATTAGTCCTTTTATTGATGCTATAGCAGAATACCACAGACTGGAAAAGTTCACTCCACTGAGAAGACTCCAAAACAAAGCCAACATGTCTCTCTAATTTGCACATACCTAGGTTTATTAGCTAAAAGTTTACATGAGCCTTTGTTAAAGATTAACAGTAGAAATCCTGGGGTAGAAAGTCCAGGATTAGGAGACTGTCTGGTGTGGGCCTCATAATCAACTGTGCTAGGAGCAGCACTCAAGTGTGAGTGAGACAGAGAAGACCGAGTGAAGCAAGAACGTCCGTAAAGAAACCTAGTTTCAGTTTTCCTGTGGTGTTGGGGATCCAGACCAGGCTTGTGCATGTTAGGCACGTGCCCTGTCATGGGCTACACCCCAGCCCAAGTCACCTGTTGCTGTACCAAGGAGTCCACCTTCACGGGTACTACCTCATTATTTCCTGTTAGGTTCCACCTCCCAGCACTGTCATGTTGTGAATTAAGTTTCTGGCACATGAACTTTGCAAGATTTTCCATAGCAGCTGAGATACTAGTTGGGATCTTTATCTGTTGATAAACAACAAATAACCACACCTGTGGTAGTTTAAGCACAACACACATTCATTACCTTACAGTTTCTGGGGTTCAGGCATCTGAACTACCCTTAACAGGTGACTACCCTTAACAGCATCTTTTGTGAGTTTCTAATCAAGGTGTTTGTCAGGGCTTGGTTTTCTTGGAAGTTCAGACAGGTAAGGGGCTCCTGTGCTACTGACAAGATTTAGTTCCTGTGGAGGCCCCTGGACTCTGGCTGACTGTGGGCTGGAGGAGACTGCCTTCACGTGCCTACTATGTGTCCCTCTGTGTCAGGAGTCCACTGTTCTGTGTGTTCTACACTGTCGTTCCCTCTTGCAGTGTCACGTTTGCTCTCTGCAGAGGAGTTCTCAGAGCATGCATGCATGTTATTTTGTTGTGTTTTCTTCAGAGCCAGGAAGAGCATTTTCCTACAAAAGGGCATTGAGTTCTTGGGCAGCATGACCTTGCACCCCCATTACTTTGCCATACTTCTGTTGGCTGGAAGCAAGTCCTCGGTCGTATGCTGGAGAGAGAGGACTGTCCAAGCTCATGAATACCCAGAGCCTGTCTTCCGTACTAGAGGAATTGCAAGCCTGTGTGGTTGGATGCAGAGACTTGTGTTGTTACAGTTCAACCGTGAGTTGCGGTTCATATTCGAGAAGGGTCTCAGTTTCTTATGGAGCCCAAGGAGAGCCATGGTGTGAGGGAACTGAGGAAGAAAGAACAAGGCAGATTTAAAGGAAGAATATTGTCTGAAAATTGAAAAATTCTCAAACTAGGTATTTACTAGCAATCCATCTAAGGATTTTTATCTGTTCCTTCTCATAGTCAAAGTGTAACTGACAGTGGCCAGTAGAATTGTCTTTCTTTTAATCCACTTTATTGTTCCATAGAAAGGACAGGAGCAATTATGATACTTTACAATAACTACAATAACTTCAGAAATAGCTCGCTAGTTCAGTTGCTGGAAAAAGACTATAGAAACCTCATGTTGGTCCCCCACCCACACGTCTCGGGAAGGGGCAGCCTTGTTCAGGAGTGATTGGTGTTTCTCCTTGACCAAGCAGGCAGGACAATAGATGCCTCACCTCCTGGTACTGTGCTAGCAAAAAAGGGTGTTGCTGGTTATGGTGACAGTGAGCAGTTTTGAGCACTCATGGACAGAAGTGCTCTCCTAATTCTGGGCTGCTTTTGTTGTAGAGGTAGACAGAAAGCCATGACTTTTCATGGCATTGAAGTCTATTAACTATGGAGACAAAGGAGCTAAGTCTTAACTTACACAGAGCACACAGTGAATGTGTGAGGAAAAGATGGGAGGTATAATGAGCATAGAAAAGTAAGGCCAACCTAAATGGTCCAGTTTCTGGTGGCTGAGAGGTTGGTTTCTAGAGTTACGGTTTTACTATATAGTTATTACCTGTCCTCAAGCAGGATACAAAATCTCTTTGATGGAGACAGTACTAATATTAATAACCTAACAGAGTTTTTGGAAGATTGGTTGAGTCAGTGTGGATCTAAGTGCTTAAACATTATGTAGCCCCAGTCAGTTTCAAGTCAAGATTATTTCTTCAGAGGGATCCATTCTGGAACTAGAGCATATGGGGAGTGGGAGGAGAAAATTTTCAAGTAAACACTATTGCAGCTACTTTGAACTGAAAATGCAAGAGCCAAGTAATTAGCAAAAGGACTGAAAAAGACCTACTGATAGAGTTCTAATGTATCATTTATATGAATATTCTGAAAGCTTCCAGAAAGAAAATATAAGGCACATAAAAACAAGAACAAATAAAAGCTAGAAATCTAAGTTATTGAATTTCTGGATCCTAGAAGAAAATGAAGCATTTACCTTCAAAATCTAGAAGGAAACTATGACCTAGATTTCTGTATATAGAGACATGAAAGGGAGAATAACTTCATACATCTTTCCCATTCCGTTCTTAGGAAGCAAGTAGAGGGCAAAGTCAGGGAAGGGGACCCAGCCAGAGAAACAGTCCTAAGCAGCAACTAGGACAGATTAGAGCAAAGGACTAAACAATCCAGAGGGACACAACACAGGAAGTTCATAATCGTTTGCTTTATAACATCTGAAAAAGGTACTATTGATGGGCTCTGACAAGTGGGTTAGGATACTGGAAATGTTAGTGGTGTGTACTTAAAACTAAGGAAATCGTTAACTTTAATAAAAACACTGCTCAGGAGGAAAACGCACAATATACTTGACTCCTCAATTGATTTTGTGTGTGTGTGTGTGTGTGTGTAATATGTATGTATGAGAGTGTATAGAACATGAATATGTAGTAACACAAGATACCAACTGAGCCCAAATTTTAAAAAATAGGTTTTATTTGTTTGGGTATTTTGCATGCATCTTGTGTGCCTGAGGAAGCCAGAAGACAGCATCAGATCCTGTAAAAGTGGAGTTAGAGAGTGTTATGATCTGCCGTGTGGGTGATGGGAATCAAACCTAGGTTCTCTCTCTTTTTTTTTTTTTTTTTTTTGAGACAGGGTTTCTCTGTAGCTTTGGAGCCTGTCCTGGAACTAGCTCTGTAGACCAGGCTGGCCTCGAACTCACAGAGATCTGCCTGCCTCTGCCCTCCCAAATGCTGTGATTAAAGGCATGCGCCACCACCGCCCGGCTCAAACCTAGGTTCTCTTATGAACATCCAGTGTGCTCTTAACTGCTGAGCCATCTCTCCAGCCTCTTACCCCAATTTTTAATAGATTAGGGAAATAGAAAGGGCTAGACTGCTATAAGAAAATGCCTCAGCTAGTAGTCATAGTTCTTGGGAGACCAAGGCAGTAGGATTGCTGTGTTTGAGGCTAGTCTGTGCAGCAAGACTGTTTGAGTTTCTCTCCCCCACCAACAAAAACAGTTGCTTCATTTACCATAAGAGAAGTCTATAAATGATGTCATAGAATCAATAACAGTATATCATAGTATGCATATAGGATGCATCACAGTGCCCAGCGTAAACAAGGTCCATGGAGGAGTTACAACAGAAAGTGCTCAAAATTCCTTGCATGCTGTTGTCTCTTACTAAATATGTTGAGTATAGACTTGTCTCTTACTCTCCACATATTTTATGTGAAAATAAAAAAATTAAAATCTTTTGCATAGATAGTATACAAATGAGAGGGAAAACAGGGATTTTAATTATGCCTACAAAAATACCTTGACTGAACTGAATTCTTTAGTTATTTTACTGTTATTCAGATTGCTGGATAGCTAAATATAAATCCTTCCTATTTTCTGCTCTACTCTCCGTGGGCAGCTGTCTGGCCTTTCTCTAGTGATAGCTGTTGTTACTACGTAAGAAAGCAGAGCACTGGCCCCGGGTCCTCTGGGTTCCTGTGTGTGTCTTCACTTCTGAGAGGGGAGGGTGACCTGGTTAGCATATATACTTGATTTTGTTGCTGCTGCATAGTACGAGAGTCAAATTAAATTCTTTTTTTCCCCACTGAAATGGAGTTAACATTGACAACTAAAAGAACGTTGTGAAAGAGATGATTGGTTCGTTTACTTTCCTGCAGGAGAAGATAATCAGCTGCTCGTCATTATAGTTGGGGTCTCTAGAGATGGACACTCAGATAAAGGAAACTACTCGATTACATTCTGAGAGGTTGTTACGTGTGTCCTCATGATTGTATTTAGAGGACTGACTGAGCAGGCTCGCTCTCTGGAAGGTTGTTGTTGGATGGACGAGGAGAGCCTTACCAGTTCGCTGAACGCTGAACGTGTACTCTTTTACCAACTGGAAATGCCCCGTTCTCAGGGCACCGCACACTGACCTCCACTTTCCTCCCTAGTCTTAACCTCTGCCTAGATCGGTGCTAGACCAACTCGCTGTTTCCTCCCTTCTCACCACCTCTCTTCTTGGCTAGCTTTCTCATAGGATCCTCTTGTCCCATCAGGTGTTACCCTTTCCGTGTATTTGGTTTCCTGCTGGCTAGATAGACTCACTTCTTGAGTTCTTATTAATTACATTAAATGTTTCTTATTCTAACTGCTTTTGAAATGGCTTAATGATTGGCATCCTTTCTGAATTTCTGCTTCCGGAGTCCCTCATACAGGCTAAATGCCAGAGAGCTTTTGGTTTGGTTCTGATGTAAATACAGATTCACATTCTACAAAACAGCACCCTATCAGTAAACTTTAATTACAGCTTGCTTCTTTTTTTCTCCTCCAGCCCCTTAAGTGTTCCTGACTGACTGTTGTTTTTCTTTCAGTCTTACCTCCAGTGTTAGTGCCTCGCCACAACGAATTCAATCCGCAGCATAGCCTTCTGGTTCAGTTTAGGAACCTGAGCCACAATGAACCGCACATGCCACACAACGCCACGTTTCCGGATTCCTTCCAGCAGCCCAACAGCACCCCTTTCCCCTTGTCTCCTAACAGCCCCTACCCCCCTTCCCCCGCCAGCAGCACGTACCCCAGCTCCCCAGCAAGCTCCGCACCAGGAAGCCCCTTTCAGCTCCCAGGTAAGACTGACCTCTGAGAGCAGGAACTATTTGAAGTGCTGCTCTTCTGAGTGAGCCTGCTGTGGGTGACATTTTCTTTAGGAATTTATTTCCACAAGAAGTAGAGTTTATTTTTCAGGTTCCATTGTGTTCAAAAATCTGGAAATAAGGGTATTAAGTATAAGTGTTTAATTTGCTGTTAGTTGTCTCAAATGAATACTTTCATCTTATATTCAGTGCTGTATGTAGCTCTGTCCTAATATATCCTGTATAAACCTTGAGGCAAAAGACAACTTCTATTCAGTTTTATATTTACTGAAACAAAAAGATCTAGCTGTAGCTTTTGCAAAAATTCACAACTCTGAGTGTTGGAAGGCCAAAGGTTTCGTTAACGTTTTTTCGTTGTTTCCGAAGCTAATCGCTCTGTCATTTAATGGGATGTGATAGTTATTTGGGGTCACTACAAAAGAATGAGATAACCGCTGTGACCGTTAAAGTGCATTTTGAAGGGACACAGTTTTAGATGGCACTGCAGTATGTGATGATGATGATGATGATGGCAATAAAGATGTGCCTGTAGTGTGTGTGCAAGGTGATCTGTGGCCGCGGGTTGCTGTGTTAGCTGCAGTTTCTTTGAACATAGATCGCTTTAAAAGAAAGAGAAAATTCTTGACCTTGGGTTCCATTTTAGTGTTATTCCTGGTATCCTGGATTACTGAGGGTCTAAGTTAATGTAGCCTTGTAGTAGGTGTGCTAAAGAGGTTGTGTGTGCTCTTTTCTGCTCTTGTACAGTGTTCTACATCTGTGTGTGCAGTGTTCAGTAATGAATCCTGCTGATAACCTTGTCAGTTTAAAAATGCTTTTAGAGTAATAGCTTTAAGCAGAAGGAAGACTTACCTTCTTTGAGGAGTGAATGTGTCTCATTCTCTTCCTCTTAGCTGATACACCTCCTCCTGCCTATATGCCCCCCGAGGATCAGATGGGACAAGATAACTCCCAACCCATGGACACAAGCAGTGCCGTCATTCCTCAGATCATGCCCAGCATATCCAGCAGAGGTGAGAAGAGCGCTCGCTGTTTACTTTTGTTGGTGCTATTCCTGCTTCCTTTAACCGCTTGCCTACTTTTCTTTACAGTGCTAGGAATCCAATCCAGGGCCCTCCTACTCTAGGTAAATAATCTCCCACTAAGTTAATTTCCCAATGTTGGTCACTTGTGCAAACACCGTGAATGGAGTATGGCTATAAAATCAACTGAGTGTGCAGTTCAGTCAGTGGTTTTGGCAAGTATATGAAATTTTGAATCAAAATGTAGTTTACAAACATTGCTATCCTTTCCAAAGAGATTTCCACCCCACCCTGGGCTTCACAAACCTCTGTTCTCTATACAGATATTTTTCTGAATATTTCATAAAAATAGAGTCATGGGGGGAAAAAAAGGCCAGGCAGCGGTATTGCACACCTTTAATTCCAGCATTCGGGAGGCAGAGGCAGGTGGATCTCTGTGAGTTTGAGGCCAGCCTGGTCTACAGAGGAAGTTTCAGGACAGGCCCCAAAGAAAGCTACAGAGAAACCCTGTCTCAAAAAACCAAATATATACATATATAGCGTCATGGACACAGTGAGATGGATTAGTGTGTAAGAGCACGTACTGCTAACCCTGATGACCATGCCAGGGGACCTGAGTTTGCTTACTAAGAGGCACATGGTAGGAGAGGAATCCCCTCCTAGATAATGTAATAAAAGTGCACTGGTAGATAATATATTTAAAGATTTATTTATTTTTGTTCTCTGTGTGAGCTTTGTCTACATGTGGGTATGGGTATTGGGAACTAAATCTGGGTCCTCCTCAAGCAGTAAGTGGTCTGAACTACTGAGCCATCCCTACAGCTTCCAAATATAAGCCTTTAGATTGTATTTCATTCACTTAGCACAGTGTGTCAATGTGGTGTAGCGGTGGTCAGCAGACCTTTGAGTGTTTTGCAGTTGGATTAGTGTTCTGAGTAGCTGCACCCTTAGAACACTGTGTACAGGGCTTTGTGTAGATACTGCCTTTTTTTTTTTTTAATCTTGGGTAGATGCCTATGAGCAGAATTTCTGATCAGAAGGTAAGCTTAACTATTTGAGAAGATTTGCCAGACATTTCCAGTGTGACTGCCAAAATTTGTCTACTTCCTATCTAAGGTCTAGCTTCTCCGTACCTTCCCAGTACTGTTACTGCCTAGCTTTTGAAGGGTTATTGTACTCCATGGGTGTGAAGCACTCACTAGATTTCATTTGTATGCCCTATAGAGTACTGATGTTGAACACTGAAGTGCTTTTTCTGCGGTCTTTATTGAGGTGTAGCGTTCTTTGTAGATTCTGGAAGTAGGCCACCCCACTCTTTTCTGTGAGATCTAACCCAGGTCACAGTGAGTGGTAGTAGATTGTTTGCATGAAGAAATACTGTTCTAGATCAGTTTTTTCTACTTAATTAACGTTTTATTAAAAGTTACTTCATTGTGAATCTTAAGATTTAGAGACTCTTAATTTTGTTTATTGGTCTTTATAACTGTACTTGGCAGTATTGATTACTAAATTTTATAGTAAAGATTTTCTATCCAATTTTTTTTTTTTTTGTCATGGCAAATGCTCATAGCATAGACTCTATGTTGGTCCTCTTATGTCTACAGTTCAGCAACATTAGTCACATTCTCAGTGTTGTTCTGTTGACGTCATCCAGCACCATTTTACCTTGTGAAACTGAAATTCTGTAGCCATTAAACAAGTCCTTATACTTATTTAACCCTTTGCCCCTGGTGACCACTATTCTGTTGTCTCTCTATAATTTTGATTACCTTTAAGTACCTCATATAAGTAGAGCCATACAATACTTGTTTATTATGACTAGCTTATTTCTCTTAGCACAACACCCTTGTACAACCCATGTACACTGTTGTATTTGTCAACATTTCATTCTTTAGGTGAACAGTCCTCCCTTGTGTGTGCCCTGTGTGTTTGCCTGCTCTCCGCAGAGGAGCATGCGGTGCTGCCTGGTGTGGATGCTCTCTTGCTATGGCGGACGGTTGATTCCAGCGCTCAAATGTTCTATTTCCTTTCTAATTGTTCTTTCTAAAATTGAGAGTGAAAGATTGAAGTCTCGAACAATTAGGATAGACTTACCTATTTCTACTTTCAAGTCTTTTGATGATTGCTTCATGTCTTTGGGGATTCCTGTCAAAATGTACAATTCAGGAATAGTAAATTCATTTCCAAGAGTTAGCCATGTCACAGTGTATGTTTAAATCACATTCCTTATTAGGGCTGAATGACATCTGTATAGTTGTTCACCATTTATCTGTTTATGAACACTTGGCTTTATTCTCCTTTTGTGGCCATTGCACAGCAGGCTGTTGCTTGGGTCTGTCTGAGTGTTACATACATTTTGGAGTAGAATTGCTGTGTTCTGTGCTAATGATGTTTAACCTTTGGAACCCCCAAACTGCACAGCAGCTGCCTCACTGTGTTCCCAGTGGCACTGCATAAGCTTTTGAGTTTTCCACATCCTCGCCAGCTTGCTTTTCTGTTGTTGGTGATATTGTCCTTGCTCATTACAATTGTCCTCGTCATTACAATGGTTGTCCTAATGGCTGTGAGTTGGTGCTTTATCTAGGGTGTTTTACTTGACAAGTAAGGAATAGTGTGGTTGCTGTTTGTTTTTCCCTGATGTTAGCATTGTGCTCGTGCCTTACGTTGTTCCAAGTGTTTTACAGATGATTTACTGACATTTTGGGTGCTAGGGAGTTATCTTTGAGTAAAGTCTTGCTGTGCAAGTATAAGGACCTGAGTTCCCATCCTAAGCATCGAGGCACATAGCACACCTTGAATCCCGGTGCTCCTACAGGGCAAGGGAAGTGGAAACAGAAGAATTCCAGTAAGTTTGAGAGACAGCTAGTCTTCCAAACCAAGTAGCAAACAGTAAAGAGCCCCTGCCCCCTCAAAAAAGTGGTGGAAGGCAAGGATTAATCCTTGAGTTGTCATTCACACCTGCACTACAGCATGCCACGAGATAAAGTAAAAAGACACTGCTATTTACAGTGTGTTTTATATCTGTGATATTCGCCCACAGCTAACTCTGTACCTAATGATGAAAGACGGGTTTTCCGCTAAAGTCAGCAACAGCAGGGTAGCACCTCTGCAAGTGCTCCTGACCTGTTTAGACCTCACTTCGTCTTCAGTGCGTCTGCTTGTTTAGGATAATGTCACAGATACTAATGTACCTATGTATTTTCATGAAGTTGCTGGAAAAGAATTTTACTTGACTAATTTAAGCCTGCATTGGTTTACTGTAGACCCGTTCCAGAGGTGCTGTCGTGGCTGCCTTTGGGATTGTGTCTTTCCCAAGTTAAGTATAGAACCTTAAGCCTCAGTCTGGTTGTATTTGGAAATGTGGGCTTTCGGGAGGTAATTGGGTCTGAATGAGATCAAGGATGGAGTCGTCCTAGTGAGACTAGTGCCTCTGTGAGAAGAAGAGTTCCCTTGTTCTCGCTCTGTCCTTGAGCACAAACCAAGGGAAGGCCGTGCTAGCAAAAAGCAGGAGGGTAGCTGTCTACAAACTAGGAAGGAGCCCCTCATTAAACATGGAAGCCACTGCCTCCTTGGTCCTGGACTCCTTTCCTCCAGGACTGTGAGAAATAAGAGTTCTGTTGCTCACCTCAGCCATCGTGGTGATTCCTGGAGCATCTGAAGCCACTGATGCAGAAGTTGGTACCTAGAATGTGGTGCTGTCGTACAGATACCTAAGAATATGGCTGTGGTTTTGGAGCAGTAGACGCTGGAGAAAGGGCTTGTGAAATGACTGATTAAAAGGAGTAAAGAATCTCTGCATCTCCTTAAGGACTAGATTAACTTTGTGTTTAGATGCGGTGGGAATACAGTGCTCAGCCTGACGCTTCTGCACTCAGGCCTAAGTGAAAACACTGGAAGATGGAGAAAAGGCCTTCCTTGTAACGAAGTGGCAGCTTGGTTGAATTATGTTGATGTTCAAGTGTTTGGGGAGGGAAGAACTTTGTAGATGCAAAATCAGTTACTGAACTGAAGAGATTCTTAAGCAAAATATGACTGGTTTCTCCTGATTGCTAATAATAAAATATGAAAAGATAAAAAAGGAAACTGTTACTTAAAAAATAACTTAAAGATTTAAGAGATTTTTCATGCTGTACACATTGTAAATAAGAATGTGTGTTTGGAAAGGAACTAAGGATTTTGTTTACATTTGATAGTGGTATTACTATGGGTGTGGAATATGGACCTGATCAGGCCCCTCTGAACCACGATTAATAAAAACTCAGGATCAGAAGAAATTGGGTTTCAACCTGAAGATCCAAAAAGCAAAACAGACACCCACTGATTCTTACCTCATCCTCAGTCTAAAATGGCCATCCTGCCTCTTGGAATCTCAGAAGGACACTGTGTCTCTGAGAGCTGTTTCTTCCCATTTTATAATCTTCTGTAGGGCTGGGATTAAAGGTGTGTGCCATTATGGCTACTGAAATTAAAGGTGTGTGTTACCATTATCTGGTCTGTAAGGCTAACCAGTGGGAGTGTTCTACTCTCAGATCTTCAGGCAGTCTTTGCCTTTAATCCCAACTCTAAGGAGACAGAGCCAGATAGATCTCTGTGAGTTTGAGACCAGCCTGGTCCTCAAGAGCTAGTTCCAGGACAGGTTCCAAAGCAACACAAAGAAACCCTGTCTTGAAAAACCGAGAGAGAGAGAGAGAGAGAGAGAGAGAAGGAAAAAAATGCTACTACACTCCTCCACCATCAGGAACAGTTAATTTGACTTGAAGATAGGTGGATTAGAGGTAAGGAAGACTATTAGACTTTTACAAGGCAGGATATTTAAGTTCTTTGGTTGTAAGCTCAAAAGAGCTGGCCCGGAGGGTGATTGTTTCATCAGGTTGCATGGACCAGTGGATGAAGACGCTTAGAGTACAGCTCTCCACAATTCACAGTTTAGCTATATTACAACTGAAGAGACATTTTTTTCCTTGAGAAATTTTCTTTAGCTTAACTACAGACCTTACAGTTTTTACTGGTATGAATTAAGTCTCTGGGAACTTGGAGATAAGATTCGTATGTTTTACATTTGAGACAGAGGCGAAATAGTAACGGACCTAATTTTTAGTCCTTCCGATTGTGTTGAAACCTTAACCCTCAGTAAATGCCATTTAGAGATAGGGCCTTTTAAATAAATTCTTGAGAGTAGGGCCTTCAAAATAGTTACTTTTCCTTACGTATTAGACATAGAGGTCAGGGTGATGACTTCATGGGTAAATGTTCTTGCCTGGGCAAGCCTAGTGACTAGACTTCAGATCCCTGAAACACTGTACAAAGAGCGATAGCATGTCTCTGTGATCTCAGCCCTTCTGCCATGAGATAGGAAGTGGATGCAGCCTGGAGTATGTGATAAAGCAGAGACAAAGAGACCCTCACACACACACAAACACACACACACACACACACACACACAGCAAGAGGACAGGCAGCTCTCTGTTGATGTAACAGGAAGTGAGTCTCTACTAGACAACACATCTGTTGACACCTTGGCCCCTGGAACAAACTGTGAGAAATAATTGTGGTTTTGTTATTGTTGTTTTGCTTTGAATTTAAGCCGTTCAATCTGTGGTATTTTGTTAGAGCTATCCGAGCAGACCAAGATAAGTTGCCTTGGACTCTAAGATAGAAATCTCAGTGAAATTTAAATGAAGTATCTATTTTGTTTGTCATATAATGCTTGGTTAGGCATTACATTTATTACCTGAGGGTAAATAAATATTCACAGAACCTGGTGGTTTAGCTAATTAGTTATTAAACTTCTTTTCTGTTTTCAGATGTTCAGCCTGTTGCCTATGAAGAGCCCAAACACTGGTGTTCAATTGTCTACTATGAACTGAACAACCGTGTAGGGGAAGCTTTCCATGCATCTTCTACTAGTGTGTTAGTAGATGGATTCACAGACCCTTCGAATAACAAAAGTCGATTCTGCTTGGGATTGCTGTCAAATGTGAACCGTAATTCAACCATTGAAAACACTAGGCGGCATATTGGAAAAGGTAATCTTGTATTTCTTTCCATTCCGTTGAAGGAAGTCCTTTTTTATATTTTTGTACTGTCTGGGTACAATTCATTGCAGAAGGTACTGAAAACATCCAAAAAATCTTAAGGCATGGCTTTTGCCTCAAGTTGCAGGTTTAAAGAATGTTACCAAAATGACGGTAAGTGTGGTCCTGCTCAGTTTCTGTTTCTACTACTAGAGACCTGAAGTCCTGTTGTCTGCTTCGTCAAATTTCCCTAACAGTTAGGGTCAATTAAGTCAGGGCCTAAATGGTAAGAGACATAGGAATGTTCAGAACAGTGCCCTCAGTAGCTAGACCAATGCTTGGCTCATAAATTACAAAAAAATCTTTGCAAAGTATGTACATGTTGTGAAGGATTAGAAATTTAAAATTTTTTGCATTTGGAGTATTTTTTATTGTAAGATTAGCACAGTATTGGGGAAGTGGAGTTTGAGATGGAAAATAGAGGGAGACTATCAATAAACCTGATACAGTGGAGTTCATGTATAATCCGCCATGGGTAGTTGCCATGGAAGCACAGAAGTGTGCATGCTGCAGAAATGCCAGTGTCTCATGTCAGGAGGCCTCTTCAGTAGAGTGCTTTGCATGTCTCTTGAGCAGTTTTGCTTTTACATCCCTGCTACTCTGTGCTTCTTTAACTTGAGTGTTAGTCAAAGATGGTAACAATGGCAGGGAATCATAACTTTGATAGTCTTTCTTAGAGAAAAGATTCAGAAAATAAGTTGAAGCCAGGTGAAGTGGCTCACACCTGTAATCCCAATACTTGGGACGCTAAACCAAATTGAAGACCAACCCAGACTGCATAGCAAAACTGTCTTTTAAAAAACAAAACAAAAATCTATACAAAACAAAAAATAAAACTGAACAGTTTCTCTTGATTTCAGTGTCAGCTTGTCCTGACCTTTTTATGGAAGGTGTCTCTCTTGAGTGTTGTTGATAATTTAAGGGGCATCTCTTTGGCCAATGCTAGGATCAGTTTTTTCTTATTTGCCAGTTTTCCCCTTCTGGAGTCGTTGATCTGCTTCATTTCTGTTTACTCAGAAGCAAACCACAGTTTCCAATACCATAAGTTGATACAATACTGTTACTTATATTTGGGCAGAGATTTGCATCTATGGAGATCTGGCTAAAAGGCACTGTGTGTGGTCATGGACAGTAATGGAAACTTGTCCACTGAGGGTCAGTGTTCTCTTATCACCTAGAATATGATAGCTGCCAGCATGCTGTCCTATGAGTAAAACAAGAGTATGTGCTTCTGAACAACAAACTGTGACATGAATTTTATTTAAAAATAAAGCAAAGTCTGATTCCCTTCTGTATGCTGTGAATATGTTTTATTATTATTGGTTAATGAATAAAACTGTCTCAGTCAATGGCTTAGCCAGGTGGGAAATTTGAACAGAGATATGTATAGAGAGAGTAGTCAGAGTCAAGGAGACGCCGTGTAGCTGCTGAAGGAGAAGGACGTGTCGGAACCTTTCCGGTAAGCCACAGCCTTGTGGCGATACATAGATTAATAGAAATGAGTTAGATTAAGATGTAAGAGCTAGCTAGAAATATGCAGAAACCATTGGCCAAACAGTTTTGTAATTACAGTTTCTGTGTGATTATTTGGGTCTGAGTGGCTGGGAAATGAATGAGCAGTCTCTGCCTACAAGCCTCCACAGAAGCACACAAACAGACTGCATAGAAACATATGTGTAACTTAATCTACTGCATGAGATAAGGCTTAAAAGGATATACACCAAAGTCAGAGCAGTGTCTACTTATGGCGATGAAAAACTTGAGCTAATTCTTAGATATATTGGAGAAGTATTTGGTAAGTTAGCTTTTTAGCAGTATAGGTTAAATTTTACCATTAGAACTGCTTTCTCATAGTATTTTTAAGTATATTTGTAGAAAACTTTAATAAGTTGTATTTTATTATTTTGTGTGTACGTATTTTACTATAGGTATGTCTGTGCACCATATGTATACAGTGCCCTCAGAGGCCAGAAGAGGGGGGTCTCCTGGGACTGGAGTTAAAGATGGTTTTGAGCCTCTTTGTAGGTGCTGGGAATCCAACGTGGGTCCTCTGCAAGGGCAGCCAGTACTCTGAACTGTTGAGCCATTGCTTCAGTTTCATGAAGGGAGTGGGGGGGGGGAGAAATGGCTTTTTAAAAGAAAGGGAAATGAGTCTGCCATTTCAAAGCTCTTTCTGTAATCTGAAGTCACATTCATATGATTGGATTTCTGTGGGTGATGGTTGAAATGCTGTGGTCCCGTTTGTCAGCAAATGGTGGAAAACTTCACTAACATTTATGATGATTGACGCACCAGGAGTTTCTTTGGAAGTACTCATAGAATGAATTTTTAAAGAGCATCTTTTCTTTGGTAGAGAAACAAATGATGGTTGGAAAAGCAAACATGGGGCAGACATCTTAATTAAATTGCAGTCCCAAGGATCTTTTAGTTAGGCTGATTATTTTTGGCTACTGAAGGCCATCTAGTGGTGGTTGTTGGCATTTGTTGTGCCTTTCTTGATGCTGTGGTTCCTCCACACTTGCCTGGCTCTCTGCGGTGCTTTGCTCAGCCTCTCTCCCGGCACTTCTCTTTCAGGTGTTCATCTGTACTATGTTGGTGGGGAGGTGTATGCCGAGTGTCTTAGTGACAGCAGCATCTTTGTTCAGAGTAGAAATTGCAACTTCCACCACGGCTTCCACCCCACCACTGTCTGTAAGATTCCCAGCAGCTGCAGCCTCAAGATTTTTAACAATCAGGAATTTGCCCAGCTTCTGGCTCAGTCTGTTAACCATGGATTTGAGGCCGTGTATGAGCTCACCAAGATGTGCACCATTCGAATGAGTTTTGTCAAGGTGAGTGGTTTGATCTCTACTATGACTTTAGTCATTGTAAATATGTACACATTATTAAAAATTACTAGATGAAGATAATAACTACTTTTGACTCAGTTTGGTACATTGCAAGTGAATTCTCAAATTTAACATTTTAACCATCTGACAGATTATTTCATTTTATAATATACATAAAATCCTTGATAATTTTGATATTGAGTAAGGATTAAGTTTATAAAATATTTCAGTTAGCAGACTAAATTTTTGGAAAGCATTTAATATTAAAATTGCATTTTGAGTGCCTCCGATTCCATGGCAGTGACTGGTGAGATTGAATTATAGTGCTAACCTACTTCACTGTGGCCCAGTCCTGTTACAGAGGATTTAGAAGACCTGTCATTTACTTTCTTGTTGTTATTTGTTTTGTTTTTAGTCGTTTTCAAGACAGGGTTTTTCTGTGTAGCTGTTATAGAACTCACTCTTAGACCAGACTGGCCTTGAACTCAGAGATCTGCCTGTCTGTGCCTCCCAAGTGCTGGGATTCAAGGTGTGTGCCACGATCACCTGGCAAGAATGACACTGTCATTTACTCTTGTGGCCTGCTGTTACTGAACATTCCAAAGATTGTGTCTCATTAGCAAAATGTTGAGGAAGTTCCACAGTTGGCTCTGCTCCGTCCTGGTGCCGGAGGGTTCGCTCGGGGAGAGCAGCAGCACTGTGTGTGCCATCTGTGCTTACTTGTGTTGTTGTTGTTGTGTTGTTGTGTGTTTCATTTTTTGGCATTTAATCCCAGTCTACTGTTTCCTTGCTGCTTCTCAGTCATCTGAATTTACCTTCTCTTCCCTTTTTGAAATATGACTTTGTCTTTTATTCTCCTGTCTCTCTTCATTTCCCCTACTTCCTTGGGGCAAGGGCCACTATAAAGAGAAAGACAGAACTTGAAAATCAAGAAAATAAAAGTAAAAATTATATATATATTTCTGTTTTTATCTGAAAGTTACTTCATCTTATTAATTTCTCACCTTTAAGAATAATGGCTTAATGTGATTACTAGAAGAAATAAAAAACAGACAACAGCAAAAGCCTCCAAACCCTGAAGACCTTTTTCTGTGAGAGATCATAGTCTATGGCCTTTGTAAAATTAAAAACATTCTGAAATATATTTGTCCCCATGGGTCTATATCAGAAATTCTGTTATTTATTAAAAGTTTATAGCTTTGAATAATGCAACTATTTTCTTTTAATATGTCACATGAATGCTGATATGTTTTCTGTAGATGTTCAGTTTAAGTATACTTTTTGTGTTTTTACAGTTAAACTTTTATTGTTAAAGTTGGTATAGACTGTTGACTGTTCAAGAGGGATTTGCTTTGCTGTCTGTTCCTTTTCAGGGCTGGGGAGCAGAGTACCATCGACAGGATGTTACTAGCACTCCATGCTGGATTGAGATTCACCTCCATGGGCCTCTTCAGTGGCTGGATAAAGTTCTTACTCAGATGGGCTCTCCTCTAAACCCCATTTCTTCTGTTTCATAGTGCAGAAGTCTTCTTTCCAACTATATTTTTACTGGACTTGTTTTAATTTTAGAAGAATTTCCAGTACAGATGCTGTGAGCTGACATGGAAAAACAGATATTATTGCTTATTTTTTCTACATAATTGTGACCAACACATTTGTATTTTGTGATGAATTTACATTTGTTTGTATTCATGTTCATTGTAACTTTCAAAAGTATTGTAAACAATGTAGAGTATTTGCCCCCATTGAGAAGTTTGGCATTGATGTTAAACTGGAACATGCTTTTGTTTATTGTCCCAACCGTTTTTTACAAAGCAGTGCACCACATAATGAAGATTTTCCTGGAAGAGGGCATAGAACATGGAAAGTCCTAGGCGATGAGTTTCTAGTCAGGTCTTTGTCCTGCCACCTTTGAGAAAGCATAGTACATTGTTTTGCAAAGACATGGTAGGAGCTTAAGGGAAACTATTGAATCTCTATTTGAAGGATACTGTGCACTCCTGATGTGTTTGGTGAAAGCAAGATGTTGGATCTCTAGATGTCATAATTGACATTTGGTGTAGCTGGTGTTTGTCAGTGTAATGTGACTCTGTGCTATATATCATTTGTAAAACATTTCCTTTTTAAAAATGTCTATTATCTGTCATTTACTCAAGTTTGTCATAAGTTTTATTGAACAGTTCAATGTGTACATGGCCTTGTTCAGCTGTGTTTGCTGCTTTGGGCCAATGTTTCAAGAACTCTAATTTTAATGTGCATTAACCTTTTCATTTTGCACTTTTATAGGTGACAGTTTTAGTGTAACCTCTGCTAGAACAGTCAGGTGACCTGATCTTAGCTCTTCTTCCCTTTACTTCCTTGGCACTCCTTTGTATCAGCACTGCCATTTAGAGATTCCAGTTGTGCGGCATGATGCTTTTCCTACCTTTTATCTTTTAATCTAATGTATGAAGTTGTTATTCTGTAGCTCCAACTAAGGTGCCTGTTAATTCTCTACAATTTTATGGGTGTTATTAATGTTGAAAGATCATATACTTAATACTATTGCTCTTACACCAGACTCTGCATACAAGGACCTGCAGTGAGCCCTCAGGCTCTTGGGTGGGTCCCGAGGATGAGGCTGCTGGTGTGCTGGTGACTGAGTCATCAGTGGGGGTTGGGGTAGTGCATTTTTAACGTCATGTAACAAGGAATGTAGACTTGTCTCTCTCATCATCAATACTCTGCCTTTTTCTTTATTCTTTTAGAACTTACCTTGATGCTAGTCTCCAGAATACCATCTTGGATGTCAATGCTCTAAGACACCCATTTACTTCACTGTGCCTTTGGCCTTAGGGAACAGTCAGACAGACAGTTTCGGCCTGAGAATGAAGACACTACTTTGATAAAGAAAAAAATGACTTAATTTCCCTATCAGAACGAGAAGCTTGATTTCCTGGTGCCGCTTTTTTTGCTGCTGAAAATGTTATTTTGACTTTTTATAGTGCCCTTCCTGACGTTATAAGGAAAAAAGCTTGTTGGGGTTGGGGATGGGGGAGGCCTGAGTCCCTTTGTTTTCTGTGTCATTATTTATTGCCTTTCAGAGTGAAGCTATTGGGTGGCTTCATTCCTTCCGAGAAATGCTTTGTTGGGCCTTCAGTAGCTTGCGCCTTCATGGCGCAGTCTTTAGAGCAAGTTTGCAGGTCTCAGGTTGAATGACAGGTACCTGTCAGTGAGCTCTGCTGAAGTCTGGAAACAAGTGCCTTGCTAGTTCCTTTTTTCGACAGTGAGTTGGTTATGTTGTTTCTCCACAGTCCTGTCACAGCCCTTCAGGTCGCAGGGTTCTGTGTGAATGGTAGGACTGAAGCTCTTAGCTGTACAGACTTTCATGGAGAAGTCCAAACCTATTTCCTAAAAGTTGTCAACGTCTCATCTGTGTCTGTAAATGAAAAGTGCAGTCTGTCTGCCTGCTCCTGTAATGTCTAAGGACATACTTATGTCTGTGGGTAGGAAAAAAAAGTGCGCAAAGCAAGTGCAGAACTCTGACCTGCAAGAAGCAGTTCTTGTAAAGAAGCCGTTCGTAAGGGTGTGGCTCGAGCTTGGTATTTGGAAGGAATGGCTGCCGTCAGAGCCAGAGCAGCAGCCCTGCAGCCCGACTGTGCTGAGGGTGACCTTGAGCTTCTGATCCTTCTGTGTCTACCTCCTAAGTGCTGGGACGACAGAGAACCACTTTTGTGCCCGTCTCTGTGGTGTTGAGGATCAGATTCAGGACTTCATGCTAGGTGAGTGCTCTACCAACTGAGTGACATCTCGAGTTCAGTGACCACATTTTTAGTGTGCAAAATATATTAATATATGCCAGATAAAATGATAGATTTGCAAATAATGAAAATTGCCATCAGTTTGGTGAATTCTGCAAATGGTAGAATGAAAATCTCAGTTATGGAATACAGCAACAAGATGCATCTAGAAAAAAGCATGGTCCGAGGCGGCCATTTGACTGGTCTGTCTACAGGGTAGCATGATGGCCTGGCTGTTGATACCAGACTAAACCTACGGCCTGTAAGTAGGCATGCTGTTGGCCGTCCAGAGTGACTACTCTGCTTTAGAGAAATTGTAGGAAGAAATCAGTTTTAAAATCACAAACAAATAGAACAGAATATGAATCTTTTTCTGTGTTATTTCATGGTTGGTATATGAAAAGTGGTCATAGAAGTATCTGGATTGCTAACGTGAAACCAGTATTAAGATTGCTAGATACACACTTCAGGCAGCTACACTAATAATGCAGATAGGGAATGTGCCGGTGTTGATGACGTGTGGACACCCTTGGGGGTGTACGTGGCAGTGACATTGCATACAGGATGTACTGTCGAAGTGGGCACTGGGACTGCCTGCGAGGACCTGCACGACATTCCCGTCCCTGGCCAGTAGTGCCCTTGTGAGGAGAGACACCTCATGAAACCGAGTTGGGGGTGTGGTGTGCCCGTGTTGTCGAGAGCATCGCGGTGGCACAGGCCCTGTCCTCACGCCTTTTCTAGTCATCTCTCCGGAGCACTTGGGTCGTCTTCCTCTTCTCACTTCAAGTTTTGTCTCTTTTTGATTCCTGAAGATGAAATACTCTTAAAAATTACTGGTTTTTAAAAATTGATTTCTTTCGGTTTTTGTTGTTTTGAGACACAGTCTCTCTATATAGCCCTGGCTAACATGGAAATTACTGTGTAGTCTAGCCTCAAACTTGAAGTAATTCTCTTGCCTCTGCAGTTCTGGGGTTACAGGCGCATGGCCCGGTACAGTGACCTCTGATGGTTTTTAGAGTTCAGCCTCTGGTGATGGTGCACATTTATCTTTAAAGTGCTCTGAACCCCTTCTTTGTCTGCCAGGTAAATCCTCTGCTGTCAGGGGTCTCAGTAAAAAGTATGTTCTCAGTATACACACAGCTAAATAAGCAGGCAGCTTTTAATGTAGGTCACCTGTGGTTTTAGAAGCATTTCATGATCTTAGGGGAGGGGATTTTCCTAAGCAGTGGTTTGTAGGGGCCCTGATACTAAGGAGAATAACCTTTTGAAGGTAATCTCCAGTGTGTGACTGTTTCCTCACAGCAGTAGGGGTGCCAGTTCTTAGAAGTCTTGTTTAATAAGATGCATGTATAGGAAGTGAGCATTGAAGGTATTTGTTCTGCACTAACAGTTTTCTGTCAGATGGACGGGCACTTGAACAGTTCTGTAGACTCTGTTGGCCTGCAGTGGAGTGTGTGCTGATAATGGCCAGCAGTGGTTAGCAGTGTCTGTCAGCAGCCCTCGTGTTGCTGGCTCATTTCCTGCTTAGGGCTGGCCTCAGTGGTGGAGCACTTCCCTGGCAGGCTAAAGCCCTGTGTTTAGTCCCCAGCACTGCATAAACCAAACCAAACAGCTCTCAGATGCACCAGTACTGTAACTGAAGAGACCACCCACAACTGGATAGTGTCAGAACCAAGGACAACAGAGTCTTAGCGACATCCTAAAAAGTGAGAATCCATGTTAAACACTTAGCCGGTGACCGTTGCTGCTCAATGATGACCTCGTCCCTGCCAGGATCCAGTGCTGGAGCATTGGACCTCAGAAGAGGAGTTTGTGTCCTTGTCCAGGTGAAAATCAGCATAAACAGTTACCATTTAAGGATTTATTTGAAGTCGCTCTTCTTAAAAATCCCCGAATTTTGTGTGCAGGTGGGACACTGCTGACTCCCGCCCCGCTGTGGGTCCTGTTTGTTACTGTGAACTGGTGTTAGCCATAACTGCACTCCAGTTAGGCCAAAGAATCAGTCCTAAGTTCTTTTGAAAGGATTTTTAGAGTCAGCTGTCCTCTTCTGAAACCATTGGCGATACTGCTGCTTTTGGCATTCTCGTATGGAGCTAAAGTATAGGGATCATAAGTAATGATTGTTGGGCCGTGGCACTTTAGCATGCCTGGTTAACGTTGCAATCTGAGTTTACTTACTCAAATTTGGGTAGAAATATAGTCATGGAGAATGAATGGCTTCTGTGTCCCTGCCTTCTCCGAGGAAGACATCTCCCATGTGGATGGTGGAGAGCAAGAACCGACGGCTGCACTATGGTCTGCTCGCCTGCACTGATCCTGCTTCTCTTCATGTCGTAGGAGACGAAACTAGCAGCATGCTTCAACTCTGCTCCTTTTTAATACTTACAAAAATGTATTAGGTTTTACTATATTGTGCTTCTCCAAGCCATAACTCTTAAGCAATTTGTTTTGCATATTGTTTGCTAATACTTTATTTTAATAAACCTCAAAATGTGCTTGTGGTGTCTTTTTGTTTATTTCCTGGTTCTTTGCCCTAATTCATGATTCATATAGTAGTGATCTAAGGAGGGCGAGGTTTTCATTGATGCAGAATTCCCAGTGCTGTGGACAGGAGGTGCATAGACCACACGTGCCCCCTAACCACACACCTGAACTGGACTTAGGAACTTTGTCCATTTCGTCTGTATGGGAGTTGCTGTCTTGTTTCTTTTTGTGTTTTGTTTTGAAGAACGATTGAGGCCTATTCTGGGGTGTTTTAGTTTAGTCAGTGTGTTCTAGATCTGTCCTCTAAGTGATGAGCTTGCCTAGCAGACTTGGCCATATAGTGTGCCTGGCTGTATGTGAGTCCTGGGCCTATGGCTCTACGCTTCTCAGCAGGATGCTTAGTTACTCTGTGCCTCAGATTTTGCAGCTAGAAAATAGAGTTCTACTTCATAGAACAATTAAGTGATGCAATACAAATCAAAGTATTTAGGCTACTGCTTGAGATAAAATAATTCATTAAAATTACCTGTTAAGTCTTGTTACTTTGACTTCAAGTAAGTATTTCTAATACTATTTGAACCTTGACCCTGGTTGATAAACTTGGTCAGTGGTCTACATAATGAACTAAGCTTTTAAAAAAAAACCCTTTTAAGAGTTATTTATTGTGTGCATATACATGTATGAGCAGTCATGTCATAGTGTACTAATCGAAGTCAGAGAAGAACCAGGATTCTCTCCCACCATGTAGATCCTAGGGGTCACACTTAAGTCCTCAGGCTTGGCAGCCTGTGCCCTAGCCTTTTGGCCCAGCTTAGATTTTTTTTTTTTTTTTGTAATTTTTCCCCCTTTGGTAACTGAAGGCAGACTAGCTTCTATGATCCTCCCTCTGGTGTGTGCTTCCTCTGGCATGAAGGAGAAAACCATGGCCAGATGGAGAAAATATTAGATTCTTTACCCCAATAGAATAAACTTAGAGGACACAGCATTCTTTCAGCCTAAGTCTTTCCTTTTCCATTTTGCTGCCTTAAAGATTAAGGGAGTGGGGTAGAAGGAAACTTTGAAGACAAACTGTAGTCGTCTTGATCTCCCCTGGACTTAAAGGTATTTAGATGGGGAAGGGTGAGAGGATTTTGGCCAGTGTTTAGGACTCTCTGTGTTGTATTGAGAGGGAAGTAATGTGTGGCTCCTGGGGAGAGGAGTGTCTGGGAGCAGTTGGTTCATGTGTAGAGATGGGTTTTGTTTGTTTTTTGATTTTAGTTTGAACCAAAGTCTCATATAGTCGTGTTTTCAAGGGTGACCCTGAGTTCTGCATCTCTTGCCTCTAGTTCCTGAGTGCTGGGCTTACAGGCATGGTCCAGCAGGCAGTGCTGGGCTTACA